CTATTTTCAAAAAAAATATCGATTTTATATCTTTATTAGCATTCTTTATCATTTATAATACCTAGATATGTTTTAAAATGCAATTTAAAGCGTTTTTGGTATCGATCATAGTAGGCTATTTTCAAAAAAAATATCGATTTTATATCTTTATTAGCATTCTTTATCATTTATAATACCTAGATATGTTTTAAAATGCAATTTAAAGCGTTTTTGGTATCGATCATAGTAGGCTATTTTCAAAAAAAATATCGATTTTATATCTTTATTAGCATTCTTTATCATTTATAATACCTAGATATGTTTTAAAATGCAATTTAAAGCATTTTTGGTTTTGATCATAGTAGGCTATTTTCAAAAAAATATCGATTTTATATCTATATTAGCTTTTTTATCATTTATAATACCTAGATATGTTTTAAAATGCAATTTAAAGCGTTTTTGTTATCGATCATAGTAGGCTATTTTCAAAAAAATATCGATTTTATATCTATATTAGCTTTTTTATCATTTATAATACCTAGATATGTTTTAAAATGCAATTTAAAGCATTTTTGGTTTTGATCATAGTAGGCTATATTCAAAAAAATATCGATTTTATATCTATATTAGCATTCTTTATCATTTAAAATACCTAGATATGTTTTAAAATGCAATTTAAAGCATTTTTGATTTCGATCATAGTAGGCTATTTTCAAAAAAATATCGATTTTATATCTATATTAGCTTTTTTATCATTTATAATACCTAGATATGTTTTAAAATGCAATTTAAAGCATTTTTGGTTTTGATCATAGTAGGCTATATTCAAAAAAATATCGATTTTATATCTATATTAGCATTCTTTATCATTTAAAATACCTAGATATGTTTTAAAATGCAATTTAAAGCATTTTTGATTTCGATCATAGTAGGCTATTTTCAAAAAAATATCGATTTTATATCTTTATTAGCATTCTTTATCATTTATAATACCTAGATATGTTTTAAAATGCAATTTAAAGCGTTTTTGGTATCGATCATAGTAGGCTATTTTCAAAAAAAATATCGATTTTATATCTTTATTAGCATTCTTTATCATTTATAATACCTAGATATGTTTTAAAATGCAATTTAAAGCATTTTTGGTTTTGATCATAGTAGGCTATTTTCAAAAAAATATCGATTTTATATCTATATTAGCATTCTTTATCATTTATGATACCTAGATATGTTTTAAAATGAAATTTAAAGCATTTTTGATTTCGATCATAGTAGGCTATTTTCATAAAAATATCGATTTTTTATCTATAAAAGCATTCTTTATCATCTATAATACCTAGATATGTTTTAAAATGAAATTTAAAGCATTTTTGGTTTTGATCATAGGAGGCTTATTTCAAAAAAAAAATCGATTTTTTTTAACTATATTAGCATTCTTTATCATGTATGATACCTAGATATGTTTTGAAATGCAATTTAAAGCATTTTTGGTATCGATCATAGTAGGCTATTTTCAAAAAAATATCGATTTTATATCTTTATTAGCATTCTTTTTCATTTATTATACCTAGATATGTCTTAAAATGCAATTTAAAGCATTTTTGGTATCGATCATAGTAGGCTATTTTCAAAAAATATCGATTTATATCTTTATTAGCATTCTTTTTCATTTATAATACCTAGATATGTTTTAAAATTCAATTTAAAGCATTTTTGGTATCGATCATAGCAGGCTATTTTCAAAAAAAATATCGATTTTATATCTTTATTAGCATTCTTTATTATTTATTATACCCAGATATGTTTTAAAATGCAATTTAAAGCATTTGTGGTTTTGATCATAGTAGGCTATTTTCAAAAAAATATCGATTTTATATCCATATTAGTATTCTTAATCATTTATAATACTTATATATGTTTTAAAATGCAATTTAAAGCATTTTTGATTTCGATCATAGTAGGCTATTTTCAAAAAAATATCGATTTTATATAGGGTGACCATCTGCGTAGTTTTACAACGGACAGTCCTGTATTTCAAAACCCTGTCCTGTATAAATTTGAAAATTTTGTTCCAGGTCCTGTATTTTTTTCACAAAAATTTCCGTTAATTTTCAAATTTTCCTTTGGGTCCTGTATTTTTTGGGAAATTTATCAAATGTCCTGTATTTTCATAAAAATTAGATGGTCACCCTAATTTTATATCTTTATTAGCATTCTTTTTCATTTATAATACCTAGATATGTTTTAAAATGCAATTTAAAGCATTTTTGGTTTTGATCATAGTAGGCTATTTTCAAAAAAGTTTCGATTTTATATCTATATTAGCATTCTTTATCATTTATAATACCTAGATATGTTTTAAAATGCAATTTAAAGCATTTTTGGTTTTGATCATAGTAGGCTATTTTCAAAAAAGTTTCGATTTTATATCTTTATTAGCATTCTTTATCATTTATGATACCTAGATATGTTTTAAAATGCAATTTAAAGCATTTTTGGTTTTGATCATAGGAGGCTTATTTCAAAAAAAAATCGATTTTTTTTAACAATATAAGCATTCTTTATCATTTATGATATCTAGATATGTTTTAAAATGCAATTTAAAGCATTTATGGTTTTGATCATAGTAGGCTATTTTTAAAAAAATATCGATTTTTTATCTATAAAAGCATTCTTTATCATTTATAATATCTAGATTTGTTTTAAAATGCAATTTAAAGCATTTTTGATTTCGATCATAGTAGGCTATTTTCAAAAAAATATCGATTTTTTATCTATAAAAGCATTCTTTATCATTTATAATACCTATATATGTTTTAAAATGCAATTTAAAACATTTTTGATTTCGATCATAGTAGGCTATTTTCAAAAAAATATCGATTTTATATCTATATTAGCATTCATTATCATTTATAATACCTAGATATGTTTTAAAATGCAATTTAAAGCATTTTTGATTTCGATCATAGTAGGCTTTTTTCAAAAAAATATCGATTTTATATCTATATTAGCATTCATTATCATTTATAATACCTAGATATGTTTTAAAATGCAATTTAAAGCATTTTTGATTTCGATCATAGTAGGCTATTTTTAAAAAAATATCGATTTTTTATCTATAAAAGCATTCTTTATCATTTATAATATCTAGATTTGTTTTAAAATGCAATTTAAAGCATTTTTGATTTCGATCATAGTAGGCTATTTTCAAAAAAATATCGATTTTATATCTTTATTAGCATTCTTTTTCATTTATTATACCTAGATATGTCTTAAAATGCAATTTAAAGCATTTTTGGTATCGATCATAGTAGGCTTTTTTCAAAAAAATATCGATTTTATATCTATATTAGCATTTTTAATCATTTATAATACCTATATATGTTTTAAAATGCAATTTAAAGCATTTTTGATTTCGATCATAGTAGGCTATTTTCAAAAAAGTTTCGATTTTATATCTTTATTAGCATTCTTTATCATTTATAATACCTAGATATGTTTTAAAATGCAATTTAAAGCATTTTTGATTTCGATCATAGTAGGCTATTTTCAAAAAAGTTTCGATTTTATATCTTTATTAGCATTCTTTATCATTTATGATACCTAGATATGTTTTAAAATGCAATTTAAAGCATTTTTGGTATCGATCATAGTAGGCTATTTTCAAAAAAATATCGATTTTATATCCATATTAGTATTCTTAATCATTTATAATACTTATATATGTTTTAAAATGCAATTTAAAGCATTTTTGATTTCGATCATAGTAGGCTATTTTCAAAAAAATATCGATTTTATATCTTTATTAGCATTCTTTATCATTTATAATACCTAGATATGTTTTAAAATGCAATTTAAAGCATTTTTGATTTCGATCATAGTAGGCTATTTTCAAAAAAGTTTCGATTTTATATCTTTATTAGCATTCTTTATCATTTATGATACCTAGATATGTTTTAAAATGCAATTTAAAGCATTTTTGGTTTTGATCATAGGAGGCTTATTTCAAAAAAAAATCGATTTTTTTTAACTATATAAGCATTCTTTATCATTTATGATACCTAGATATGTTTTAAAATGCAATTTAAAGCATTTATGGTTTTGATCATAGTAGGCTATTTTTAAAAAAATATCGATTTTTTATCTATAAAAGCATTCTTTATCATTTATAATATCTAGATTTGTTTTAAAATGCAATTTAAAGCATTTTTGATTTCGATCATAGTAGGCTATTTTCAAAAAAATATCGATTTTTTATCTATAAAAGCATTCTTTATCATTTATAATACCTATATATGTTTTAAAATGCAATTTAAAACATTTTTGATTTCGATCATAGTAGGCTATTTTCAAAAAAATATCGATTTTATATCTATATTAGCATTCATTATCATTTATAATATCTAGATTTGTTTTAAAATGCAATTTAAAGCATTTTTGATTTCGATCATAGTAGGCTATTTTCAAAAAAATATCGATTTTTTATCTATAAAAGCATTCTTTATCATTTATGATACCTAGATATGTCTTAAAATGCAAATTAAAGCATTTTTGGTTTTGATCATAGGAGGCTTATTTCAAAAAAAAAATCGATTTTTTTTAACTATATTAGCATTCTTTATCATTTATGATACCTAGATATGGGGTGTGTTTCATAGGCTGGACTGAACTGTTCTGTTAAATTTAACAGAACTATTCTGATAAATTTTTTGGATTTGTTTTGATAATAGAATATTATACTGATAATATTAAGAGAACAATTCCGATGAATAACAGAATTCTCATATAATTATCAGAACATTTCAGTCCAGCCTATGCAACAGAAGCCAAACTCGTAAACAGTTTCAAAACAAAGACTTGCGATTCGCAAAAGTTCTTCTGCAACTTGAAATAATGTTCTGAACTTCCATACGAAACTCAGATACCTGCTGAGGAGTAACTGATGATCAAACTTTCCATCACTTAGCAATAAAAGCAGAAAAATCATTTCAAAAATTTTATAAAATTCAATCTTATTCCAGAAGCTATTCAATAAAATTAAGAAAAGCAATAGTCAGATCATCACATAGAAGTCACATCTTCCGATAAAGCCACACGCCCTATTTGTGCCGGAGTTTATGTTAATAACACGTAAGAGAACTGAATTTTTAATATAGTAAAGGAATTAAAGCACTTAACTATAAAATTAAATTTTAGATCAGTTCCTAGACATAAGACATAGTTATATTAAATTGAAAGTTAAAGTAGAATCATGCGGTTGCCAATTTGTTTAAGTATTATCATAGGATTTCTTAGCTGCGCTGTATTATGTGATAAACCAATTTTAAGAGGTATGAAAAAAAAATATTCTAGATTATCTTTAAAATTAAATGACCTTTTTTCTAAAACGCAGGTATTGATCCATCTAGAGCTCAATTGTATGCCAATAAGAACGACAAATTTACATGTTTCGATGGCAAAAAGACGATAAAATACACGCAGTTGAATGGTAAAATATTTTTTTACATGACTTTACGGATGAATAATCAACTTAATTGGCCTATTTCCCTTACTAGATGATTATTGTGACTGCGAGGATGCTTCCGATGAGCCAGGAACATCCGCTTGTACCAATGGAAGATTCCATTGTGTTAATCCAGGTCATAAGAGTTTAGTCATTCCAAGTTCCCGTGTTAATGATGGAATTTGTGACTGCTGTGATGCATCTGACGAGTATTTCAGCCGTGCTAATTGTATCAACAATTGCATTGAGTTGGGCTCAGCTGATAGAATAAGAGAGAAACAAATGGCAGAACTGGTTAAGAACGGGAATCAAATTAGATTAGAATTGTCACAAAAAGGCAAGAAACAAAAGGAAGAACAAAGACTTAGAATGGCAGACCTGGAAAAATCTCGTGATCAGGCTGACAAGTTGAGAGAAGAAAAAAGACAAATTAAAATTGATGTAGAAAATCTTGAAAGTGATGCTTTAGATGTTTATAGAAAGGCTGAAGACGAAATTCGGAAACAAAGAGAGCAAGAAGAAGCAGTGAATAGTCGTCAGGAAGCGGAAGAAACATTCGCAAAGTACGATTCAAATAAGGATGGAAAAGTTGATATTATTGAGTTGCAGACAAGAGTTGTGTTTGATAGAAATAGAAATGGAGAAGTTGAAATTGAGGAAGCTAGATATTTCCTTGATGATAATGATGCACTTGAGTTAGAAGGTTTCCTAACTCTTGCATGGCCAAAGATGAAACCATTCTTAATGCTCGACTCTGGACTATTTAAGCCACCAACTAGAGGTGATCAACCAGCTGATGAAGGAGAAGATGGCGAAGAGCAAGAAGCTCATGAGAACAACGATGATCCAGCAGAGGAAGCTGAGTTGTTGAATGAAGAAACTGAGAATGTTGATGAGCAGCATGACGAAAATAACGAGGAAGAAGAAGACGAGGAAGGTCATGATGATCATGATCATGAGCCAGAACAGCAACAACCACCTCCTGTTCAATACGATGATGAGACTCAACGCATTATTGAAGAAGCAAATGAAGCTAGAAATCAATATGATGTAGCTGATAGAGAATTCAGGGAATTAGATACAGAACTCAATAATATACGTAAAGTTTTAGAAAAGGACTTTGGTCCTGAAGAAGAATTTGCTCCATTAAATGGTGAATGCTTCAATTTTGAAGATCGCGAATATGTTTACAAGCTTTGTATGTTCGACAAAGCTACTCAGCAGCCGAAAAGTGGTGGCAGTGAGACAAGACTCGGTAATTGGGATGGATGGCGAGGCAATGACTACCGTCAAATGCTCTATGCAAATGGAGCTGGATGTTGGAATGGTCCAGCTCGCTCAGTCATGGTAGACATCGATTGTGGTCTCGATACAAGGATCTTAAGTGTAACTGAACCAAATAGATGTGAATATAATTATAGAATTCAAACACCAGCAGCTTGTTTTACGTCGTCAACAAACGAAGTTCATGATGAACTATAAAAACTGATTACCTTTCACCACCGATAGATTTCATCATGAACACCATACAAAAAAAAGCACTGATAGCAAAATAATTAGTTATTCATTTCTAATATTTTCTTTTAAATTTACTGACTTTACATTTCGTTTCCTACTTAAGTGTTTAAAAAAAACTGTTCATGTCTTTTGTACATTCCTAATAAACGAAAATATCAATCAAATGAAGGAATTTTTGTGTAACGTAATAAAGTATATGATTAAAACATGGACATATGTTTGTGAAAAAAGGATTTTAATATTTTTTCAATATAATATAATTAATATAAGAGGCATTTTTTTAACTTTTAAGCACTAATAACTTCTCTTATTAATTATGGTAAATTTCTTTCATAATAAATATTTCATCATCTTCATTAAAGACTCTTAAAGAAATCCTCAATTTAACTAATTGAGAATAATATTTTTTAACCTTTTTTACGAAAAAATTTTAAGCAGGGATGAAAATTTTCTCAATTCGAATCAATAAGTCGTACACAAACACGTATGTGCATATGGAATGATTTACGTAAAAAAAATCTTTAACAATTTTCATTCCTGCTGTGTCGTCAATGAAACAATGTTATTGCTAACTTAATTAGAACTTTCTAATATAGCTTCAATGGATTTCTCACTCCTTCAAATCTAACGTTTATAGTAATTATTTATTGCACATTCTAATTCATCAAGAAATATTATTTTTGCATGGAAGATTTTAATGGAAGTGAATAATTTTTATACTTTAAAGAAATCATCAACAGCTGAACTAGAATTTTGTTGCTGCCCTTTTCCGCTACTGATGGACTCTACATCTGGACTTTTCTCATTATGTAATCTCTCGTACGGATTCTCTTTGACATATCTTACTGATGTCTCAGTCATTGATGATTCGCTTAACAAATCAAAATTATTATTTACGGTTGTTGGTGTGATGCTTGTGCTGGTAATTTGTTCGTAATCTAAATGCAAATCTGAACTATTACTATCGGTTGAAGGCGAAATAACTGCTGGAATGCTTGAATAAAGATTTGAATCTCTATCGTTTTCACTATCAGACATTTTTAAACTATCTCTTAATCTACGCTGTTCTTCGCCAATACTACTATAATCATTTTCGGGCTTCTTTATCGTACTATATCCCGGAATACTTTCATCATCATCACTTAAATCCTTTTGTTGCTTTAGCTTCTTACCAATTTGTGAATATCCATCATCAACTAATGTACTACTTGTACTTGAACTACTTGATATCCTTTGCTGCTTCTTATTAACAACTATTTCATAATTTGGATCATAATCTGAATCTGTCGTAATACTGTCTATTCCTTTTTGTTGTTGTTGTTTTTGAAACGGATGCTTATTTGATAACTTTAATGTTTCATATTGTGGAATATTCTCGTCTACAAAATTTGTTTCCGTTTTCTCTTGAATTTGCGCATAGTGTGGATTTGACGACAATGCAATCGATGACACATTTTCATCCTTATTATTATTATTTCGATCGGCTGGAATCGTTTCATATCCTGAATAATTTAGCATCTCATTGTTTCGATTGTTTCTGTGACGTTTCTTATCGATAGTTTCGTACTCATTTCCGGATGAAATTTTAATTTCATTAACAGCGCTTTCCGGAGCTTCTACCTCATGTCGAGGCAAAATTGGTGATGTAGCTTCAAAAGGAACACTTGATAATTTACTTTTCTTCATGACTTTTGCGTACATTCCCTCAACATCTTGTCGTGTCTTGTTTGAATTATTATTTGTATCTTTGATCTTATTTTGTGGTGTGGGTGGTAACGGCGAATTTGCTTGTCTTTTTTCAGGCTTTGGTGATCCGATATTATTGCCCACAGAGCTTGTACAACTCGACGACGACGCTTGTCTCGAATGAATGTTTTTAAGAGCATCTACTTGCGATGTCTCTTCATGATAACTACTATTTGGACGTACGATTGATCTATGGGATGTTGTTGATGCTGTATCCGTTGTTTGAGATGCTTGCGATGTTTGTTGTGGTGGAGGTGGGTTTATTTCAACAGATACAGTCATTGGCGCCTGAATTTGTGCATATGTTTCCGATCCACTTGTATAGAGATCTGTACCTCCAATATTGTTTGGATCTTCAATAGCTGCATACATTTCGTCTAAAATAAATATTTAAATATGTACAAGATGATGACTAATGTCCAATGTAAATAAAATTCAATCTTGGCTAGATTAAGATTGGAAAAAATATGGTAACACGACGTAATAGGAATGTAAATTTAATACCTGAGTCATCAGATACGGTTGCATAGAAATTGTTATGAGAATCTTGAATTTCCCTTCGCCGTCGCTGTGCATTCTGTTGATTTGTTTGTGCAATGATATTTGCCAACGGCTCTCTAACGCTAATTGATGTATATCCCTCTGAAAAATTCCAATAAAGTTTAACATTCTATTGTTAATCGATAAATTAATCATCAATCTTACTCGAGGAATCTTGTGAATCACCACTAAAATGTTGTGGATGGTTGTGTACATTTGTCATAGATGTGACTATAGGCGGTGTCATATATGGAAGTTCTTGACTCGCAGATATTCTTCCACTTATAGCAGCTGATGCATCTAAATGGGACTCTGCAGTACTTAAGAGATCATTGTTTGACGATTCTCGATGGGAAATTGGATTTTCAATCGTTGTTTCATCATCATCGTCATCATCATCATCATCATCGTCGTCATCGGCATTTTCAAGTACAACTGTTGCAATTCCACCAGTCGTCATGGGCTGAATGACCTGTGCGTACGGATGTTCTGTTTTTTTAAGTTTATCATAAGCGTGTTGCGGTGATCTCACTCTTGCATAAGGCGAACTGTCGTCTGCTTGACTCATCGAACTATTTTGTGATATGTTAACTAGCTTCTTAGGATTCAATGGACTTTTGCTTTGAGCCTTTTCCTGAACCTTATCACCTACAGTCGCATATAGTTCAGAATTATTATCACAAACGGCATTTTCAACAATTGGTATATCAGGTAAACTTCGATGTGGAGCATTTGCTGAAGATCTACAAAAAAATATTATTCAACAGATGTTAATTAATATTTGTATGATAATAAGTTAGATGAACAATTGGAATAAAAGAAAATTTCATGCAACACTTTTGTATTTACCTTTTCAATTCATTGTCTTGAAAGCCATTACCATTCCCGAGCTTTGCATCGAATGGCAAGGTAGCGTTTTTCTGAGCCAATCTCATCTTTGGACTAAGTACATCACTGGAATCGGTCATGTCTATACTCACATTAATAGTACTATCATCGAGATGCTTAAGTTTGACTATTCCTTCTATACCAGCTAATTCGCTTCTACAACAACAATTTTCTGGTTTTAGACTACTTTTAAACAATAACAATTTTCATTCTATTTTGTTCTTAAAATAACACATCAAAATGTGATGAAAAAAGAACATGCAATCTTATTACACAGCTATTCACAATTACTCTATTTTTTTACACATCGAGTCTGAAATGTTTTTCGATGAAAATATTCAATTTCCTCATTAAGTTTGAAGAATTACATGAATGAAACATATTTGCTTTACTCCAATAACGGGATTAATGTTTCAATCTTTTTAATGCCTACTTCTTATTCTCTTTTATGCTCTCTTTTCTATTGCATTGTTGAAATTTAAATGCTATGTGTGGATTTAATATTTTAGTTTTTGCTTCTTTTTAGCTTTCCAAAAACAAACAACATATAAATATTTTGAAATTTTGCAATACTTACTTCTGATTCCGTCGCTTACAGCACATGCAAAATGCCAAAATTGAAACAAGTGTCATTAACGATATGCTGCTAATGATCAATTCAATACTGAATGGTTGAGCTTCAGTAGTCTCTTCCATTTCATTAATATGCATTTAGAGATTTTATGATGTACTAAGCATTAAACGATCGATTTTTTTTTTTTTTGTTAACATATAAAACTAAGATAAAATCATATTGATATAATTATCGGTGCTTTTGTTCATAAATATTATTTTTTTGTGTAAATTGCGAAAAAAAAACTTTCATAAATTTTCTCCGTGATAAAAATTTCACTTTTAAATTTTCCTAATTTCTACCATTATTTTCAATAAATTTGACTTTACTTCAACTACTTAGGATGTTAAGTTTACATTTAAACTTATTGTGTATCACTTTTTAACTGTTTAATACATTTAATAATAATATTTTAGGAGCGCTTTACATTTATATTTAATACTACAGCAATAATAATGAAGCCAACTTCATGTGATACAAATTGTGAATTTTTATTTTAAGCCCCGCAGAATTCAAATTTGAATTCGGATAACGGATTTTTAATAACGAATCATTTCCTAATTGGATTATAATAATCAAAAGAAATAATTATTCATATTTATATCCGACAATCATGAAAGAATTAGCCTCAATAATAAAACTCAAATTTAATGGTTTATTTATCTGACTAATTATAAGTCAATTATTTATTTTGAATGTCAAAATTAATAATCCTGTTACATGCCTCAAAATGCCTATGGTTAGTTCCTATAATGATTACAGTTTTTGTATTAAATTCACGTCTTACAAATAAATTAATGATTGGCTGAATTTCTATGTCGGGATATTCAATTATAACAAGTTTTGGTTCTGGTGGCTTTAATGTAGCCTTAATCAAGCATAATAGCTGCTTCTCCTTACGTGATAAACATTGCATTAGTTCTGAGGTTTTATTTGGTAATTTAAGAATTTGTGGCAAGACTTCTTGAATCTTATTTGAAATAGACTTGTACGGAATTGAATTGTTTGGATTAAGGAATTCTCTGTGAAGGGAAATAAGAATTATGTCAATGATTAATTACTCTTTAAACGCTTTAATCGACTTACGCTATCGTTATGTTCTGAATTTTCAAGTCATGTGGCACAACAGCAATCACTTTACTCAAATTATCCTGGCTAATTACATTCAAGTCATACGACTCAATTGAAATCGATCCAACAACTGGTTTAATCAACTTAAACAGCACAGATGTAATTAAATGCGATGAATTTCCCGTCATTCCAATTATGTCGAATTTCTCAATAGTTAAATGTGGTATATCCAACACTCTCTTCCCGCATAATTTTATTTGAACATCTTTGAACTCAATTGATAATCCATCACCCGTTCCTAATTGTGTTGACTCATACAACATACTTATTTGCGATGTTTTTGCAATATTTTTAATTTCAGAATTAATCAAGTTCTGTCTGCAGTTCATAATCAGCCAATCAAGATAAGCAAGGATTGCCTCATTGACGTAATGCATGAGTAGATAATACAGTAAGATAGAGAGTAGATAATTGTATATGGAAATCTCGCCTATTAAGAGTGTCATTAGTGTGATAACTGTCACATTTATAGCCATCAAAATTTGTACTGTAAAACTAACGTAGTTCTTAAGTGATTTTTGTAGGAAAATTGATGTTGAGTTGTCTTCGACGACTGTGTTGAAGCTGTAAGAAGAACATTAAGATTACATGTGATAGTGGTTCTTAAATGAGTTCGATTCCTACAAGAAGCCGCTACTTCAAAGCCCAAAATTTAATTTGGTGACTTAAACATGATCTCAATCAATGAGTAATCAACAACTTTAACCTTCTTTACTGAAAAGCATTTGAAACATTTTCTCACAGTTAATTAAGATTTCCCCACTTACTCGCGACAAAATTCCGATGTCTTTTCGAATGATTGAATGACATCACGACCACGCAAATTGTTTATGATCAATGCAAGCATTTTCTTCCTCGACTCGTACTCAACAAGTGTATAGTAATTTAATGTTGGCCTCAATCGTTTCTCGAATATGTAATGAGCAGAAACAACTTGTCCGAAAATGAGAATTAGAATAACGGCTGATGTGAGCCAAAAGTTACAGAGTAATAGTATCAATCCACCTAATGCTATCATGATTATTGACTCTATAAGTTTGGTATAGGGTTGAGCGACTATAAATAAAATATTGGATAGATCATAAACTTTTATAAAAGCTGATATGATTACACTCACGTGTATAAAATGTTATACTGAACCAATTTAAAATGTCAGCTATATTTGTTCCACACAAAAAGTCCAGACTCGTTTTTAGAAGCTTTTCAAAAATCATTTTGTGGAACTTTTTCAATTTAATTTCAATCAATTTCGCCACATAAATCTTCTTGATCAATTCTATTGAAAATGCTGCTACGAAGCATCCTGAATTGATGGAGAATGAAAAGGTAAACAAGCAGATTGAAGAAAAATTCTAACGACTCACCTAAAAATACCAAATTGAGCATTGGGGCAACTTTAGCATCCATAACAATACAAATGAATCCAACAATCAATGATAAATACAGCAGCACAGTTAACGTTGTGAAAAATGATATAAAGATGATGTTAACGATTCCAATTGAAAAATTATGAATGTATTTATTTTTGGCAATAAGATGCTCTGTTGATTCATCTCCACGTTGTGATGTTCTACTATGACTCTCATCAATAATTTGAACGTGGAAACGACTTGGCATTTTGTAGACAGTCAATGCATTTAAACTACATCCTTTGATGTTCTCGAATGTGTAATGGACTGGATTCTCGTGATAACTTAATGTCGAAATTCTTTCATATTCAGCATGAGAATAAACTCGATTCTCACTTGAGTCATAAACTCTTTGACAAATATTTAATATTTGAGTGTTAGTGCTGCATATGATGATTGCTTTGTTGGGATCAGACGAAATGTGGTGAACGATATTGGCAAACAATTGGAGAATATTCGACGAAAATACAGCATTTTTGAATGGCTCATCGAACAAATAAATATCTCGGTCGCTATAAATAGCACGAGCTAGTGCAATCCTCTGTTTCTGTTGCTGATTCAAATCAAGCATTTCGATTGGTAATTCGTCAGTTCCAAGTGTCTGTAATACGTCATCATTCAAATTAGTCATTGTTACTGCTGCATAATAACGTTTAGCATCAAAATCAGTTCCCATCAAAATGTTATCCTTAACAGATCCAATACAAATGAAAGGTTCTTCACTGAAAAATCCAACAACTCCTCTTTGTCTCATGATTCCTTCCTTACATTCTCCATGACCTAGTATTGCATAGATCAGAGCTTTTTTATGCTTGCCACAAACACCAAGGACTTCTCCTTTTGATACGTCTAAAGTGAATCTTATGTTATCATCCCAGCTGAATCGGCAGTCACTCATGGATATTAGGACCCGAGTGTCAATTGTCCTAACTCTTGATAATTCTGGGTCGACAAGCATTGCAAATGAATTCTAGAAATGAGATAAAAATTAAGCAGCTGTAAATATTTAAAGACATTCTTACCTTGAGCTTCTCTAAGCTTCCTTTTCCATTAGAAATAGCCTGAATTGAGTGACAATAATCCGAGACATAGTTCTTAATGAAATAAACATAAACAATCACAAGAACTAATGTCTCGACATTATCAGTAAAGATGTCAGCATCACACCAAATCAAGTATAATCCACCAAGCAGCACAGACGTAAGACCTTCATAAATTTCTACAGAAAAGACATTTGAGATGCGAAGTGCAGAAAACTGTGCGGAATTAAGATCTTAAAAGGAACAAAAGCGAAACTATCAATTAGCACTTACATAACCATGTAGCAAATATCAACTCACAGTAAAAGTTCTTGATGTATTCGTATGATAATGAATGGACAATGATGTCTTTAAAATTAACACAAAAGCTTTCAATAAATGTAACCTTTTTGAGCAAATAATGCTGGCATTTTCGGAAGCGATTTGTAGATATTTTGGCAAGGATAACGGGGATACAAAAGAATCCAATGCATGCAAATATAGGCCACACAGCAGGACTTCTTAGTAACATGACTGACGCCACTAACGACAGAATCATCGCAATTACTGTTCCTAATATTTTTGTTAAGTAATCGACAAGTTCCATCATGTTGTCAATATCGTCAGTTAAGATCTGATGTGGTGCAATATTATTGACAATTGACGACTTTATCGCTTTCCTATACGTTGCTGACAAAACTGCTGTTCTTAGACGAATTGATGTTCGTAAGTTGAGCCATTTTGTAATGCTATCAAAGAACATAGCAGCAAAGAAGCATCCGATGAATCCAAGCATATAGTAAATACACTTAAATCTTCCGTAGAAGCTAAATGAAAATTGAAAGAACTTGAAGACACTAACTTGAGTTGTTCTGTCAACTAAAGCTTGAATAGTTGTGGTAATGGCAAGGGTAGTTGGTGGCGCCAAAGTTGTATTTCTACTTAACGTTTCGTTAATTCCAATAAATGTGGTGTTATTTATCGTTCCTCCATTACTTGTGGTTCCATTTGAATTTATTTCACCTTCCATTTCTAAAGCATCCAATGTCATTTTTAGGAATATCACAGGTGCACTTAAAGCACATAATACTGATAATGTGTAGAACAATGAAGCCACAATTACTCTCGTTTTGCAGAAATTCCAAACAACCTTCATCATAGATCCGTGCCTTCCATGGCTCTGCTTTTCATCTTTATAAATTCCCAATAATCTTTTTCCATTAACATCTGCACTGTCATTGTATGGTAGTGTTATGTCCAACTCATATTTCTTACGATGCTCAGCACTATCCATCATTGGATCATTGTGAGGTAATACTAAATAATCTTTAACCCAAGAGAATGACAAATTTGAAAAACAACCGATCGAGTCAACTGGCAGTTCCGAATTGATCCTATAAGATTGTATTTTTTTTTTTCATGAAGACAATGAGGCTTTTAACGTTTGATTGAGTTCGAGTGAAAATGGATTTGGGTACTGAGATGCTTAAACTGACTGTATTTTCAGTGCATTTTTAAGTCTTAAAATATCTTTATCAAAAATTCTTATTTCCTGCAATTTTTGTTATTTATAAACTTGGAAATATCGATTACTACGTAGTCAACAGAGATAGTAATTGTGACGTACCTTAGGGGCCGTTCACTTATTACGTTACGCAAAAAACGACTTTTTTTCACCCCCCCCCCCTTGTTACAATTTATACAACTCACAACCCCCCCCCTGAACGTTCATAATACAATATTTCTTTTAAATCTAAAAAGACGGTTAAACATCTTTTGTATTTTTTTTTTCTTTAACATCAAATTGAAAAATTTGTTTTTTTTTTGAAGAAAATTCAAAAATGTCATGAAAAATATTATGCCCGATTGAATTTTGGAAAATTCAATCAACTTTGAATACAAATATCACAATGATGGGATCATATTAATCATCATATGAATGACAGATTTAGAGAGATTTACTTTTAAACTTATGATTGATTTAATTTTGAAAATTTCCACAAATTATAATTGTATTTTAAAGTCAATGTACGAGTCAAGTTATAATTGGGCATTTTGGGCAACGTTGGATTAAGGAACGGATCAGGAACTTGAAGAGTAGCGGGAGAAATAGGAACGAGAGCTACAAGATTACCTTATAATGGAATATTGTCAGAATGGACCTGAAATGTATCACGTCACGCCCACAGAAGATTGAAACGAGAGCCTTAGTTTATTTGAAACCTAGATTTGAAGATTAGAAGCTTGATTCTACGTCACCCATAGTGATATGAAATGTATCACTAATCAATGTAAAAAGTAAAAACATGTATAAATACTAATTCTTCCGGACGGTAACGTCGACAAATAAATAATAATAATAATAAAGTCTTGTAAACCAGGTTTCTATTGATTTGTTACTTTACATAAAACTATGTATTTCTTAGCTATCAAAAGTGATCTGGACATTCATGAATCATTAAAAATTTAAAAAAAAAAATTTGGTGTGAATTTGTAAACAAATTTTTTTCTTGGACTTATTTTTAAAAGACAGACGACAATTAGAACGTTACATACTACTTGACACCCCCCCCCCCCTTTGTTACATTTTGTTACATTTTTTCAACCCCCCCCCCTAAAATGCGAACGTAATAAGTGAACGGCCCCTTAGTTATTAGGCAGTAAAAAATAATGAAATTTGATTTTAAAGATTCCAACAAAGATATCAGAAAAGTTTTCGCGCCAAAATGTTTCATATTAAAATTTGAAATAAAAATTACCGTTATAAAAGTTGAACTCTTTTAAAATTATTACCCAGTAAGATTATGAACTAAGTTGCATGCAATTATGAACCAGAACCCAACTAGACAATTTCTATTCGAACTTAATCAATTCAATTAGCAACAAGATAATCTCTGTGTTAATTAATTTTCTTACGTTTTTGTGACTTTTGATCGAAATGGTATGAATGTAGCAAGTGCCGTTTTGTATCGACTAAATTGATCTTTCTGTGATATATATGTTGAATTGACTCGTAATGACCGTCGTCCAAAATGGCCCAGTTCTTAAAATATAAAAACAAATTATTGCGATTGAATAAAAAAAAAATCTTTTTTACGTCATTAACTTTTCACAGCTTCGGTCTGCTGCTTTTCCGAATCAAAAACACTATCGCCAACACTTTCATTGCTTTGGAGTGACTCGATAGCCGAAACATCGTCACTATAAAAATTAACAAAATACCAGAAACCAAAAACGATAAAATAAATAATAAAATAAATCATGTTAAACTAGAGGTGTATAGAGACACTTGTAAACTTCACGAATCAGCTTTACCTTATCACTGTTAATGGAATTGCATCAAGCTTTTTCTTCATTGTAATTCTTTTTCGCACGAAAAAATGGGTTGGAAAATAATTTTTTTTCTTATCAAAACTTCGTGAATGAGATAAAAAAAAAGTTTACGATTTTTAGACTGTATTTGTGATTATTATTCTACGTCCAGTGCCATTCATAGATGATAATATTCAGTTCCCCCACATTATTACGATATTTTAAGAATGCAATCAATTATAATTCATGATAATTCCACTTATTTCTATCAATGAATGAAATTCCTTCTGTGCCTTATCGATTAAAAGACTTGTTTTGGTCTGACAACAAAAACTAGCTGATCTACGGATATGCAAATTAATAAAATTAATGCCGTAGAATAAAAAAAAGTCCCCAAACGACAACTTCGCGAGTCAAAATATCGAACAATACTGACATACAAAAAAGTGGACCCTTTCAATACTTAAAAAAAGCACAGTTATCAAAATTATCAGTAAGTCGATAAAGCATGTACCTATACACTTGTATAGACTGATATGAAAATTTTACTTTATTTTTGCAATGTAATAGTAAAAAATTGTCTCCCTTATTAGTCGTCGGTGGATTTGTGGAATAAAGTTTATCATAAAAGTATTTTTATTACTGCTAATTCCTGCATTTTTGTCGATAATCAAGTCACTTTTCTTGTTCCTCATTTTGTGTCAATTAAGCGAATCAAAACAGAAACGTGATTCATGAGAAATAATCTTCTTCATCTTACTAGATATTGTTTGTACAGTAGCGTGCAAAAGTGAGTGGACAACTTTCAATGACAAAAAAATTTGTTAATAAGTATGTTATAGTAACTTTTCAAGATAAAAATCAAAAGTATTGACGATTTTCTTAATTTACGTTCAAAAATTTTCCACCACGTGTTTTCTCGATTTTTCTTAAATTCAAAATGGCTACTATTTTTATTGACTTTTAAGCAAATATGTCATATAATTCAATCTTAATTTTTTTAAACTTCTCTGATTTATATAGTATTTGTAATAAGCTTTCAGAATATGTATAGTTTATTATATTAAAAGTTGATATTATGCAAAAAAATTATAGAAATATTTTTTTCATTGGCGATTTTCTCACAGTTCAGAACATTAAATTGAGGAAAACTTGATAAATACTTTGCATATATAAGACTTTTTGGTATCAATTTATTGCATTTTATTTGTACAACATTATATAAGTAATTTCAGTTTGCTACAAAAAATATCCATCAAGTAACAAGCTGTCAAATAGAATGTCAATTGAGCTTCTCAAATAATGAAAATTTTTTTTTAAAAACTTGTTTAAAATGATTATTTGTTGCAGAAAGTAATTTTTAAATGTTAAATTTTAACATAGTTTTGGGTTACGAATCAAAACATATAAAGTTTTCACGACAGAAAGTTAATTTTGCAAAACTTTATTTTTCATTATTTGAGAAGCTCAATTGACATTCTATTTGACAGCTTGTTACTTGATGGATATTTTTTTTATATTCACACCGTTTTCACGTGTGAATCTATTGGTTTTGTACCTCAATCTAAAAATCCCTAAAATGCAGCTACCCTAATATGCAGATAGTACTGCCAAGAGGCAGATGGTACTGCTAAAGTGCAGATGAAATTTATTTTCTCCAAAATACAGATGAAATGCTGTTGCTTTAAAAAAGGTATAATGCAGATGATTTTAATCGTATAAAGTGCAGATAAGATGTTGCCCAAATGTAGATCGTATAATTTTAGTGGTTCGGATCCCACTATAAACTGTAGGTCTAAAGGGTGTGGTACAATAGATTCTGTTCTAATTTGAATCGCAGTGCCTCCAGCTGAAAGGCTGGGCCCTTCACATATTATATATATACCTTTTTTAAAGCAACAGCATTTCATCTGCATTTTAGGGAAAATAAATTTCATCTGCACTTTAGCAGCACCATCTGCATCTTGGCAGTACTATCTGCATTTTAGGGTAGCTGCATATTAGGGATTTTTAGATTGAGGTCTTTTGCACGCTACTGTATACAAAAGAATGTTTCAACATTCGCACAATAATCAAGATATTAGATGAGGAACAAGAAGAAGACGACGCACAAAATAAAGAATTTAAATCTGTTTTTAATCATAATTAATTTATTAATACAAAATATTCTTATGTTCAATCTACGCTGAATTTGTAAATACTTCATTAGTTGATATTTAAAATTATAGAAAGATAATTTGAATGATTCTGGGAAAAAAATGTCGAAATTGCATTTTGTTCTTTTACTTGTTATAACTCTAAAACTATAGAAGATAACATAGACATATTATATATGTTTGGAATTGACATCCAAAGAGCTATATAATAATGCTATTTTTGAACCGGTTCAATAGGTTAAAACGGTTCAAAAACCGGTTCAAAGTTGAAAAACTAAGAAATTGAATATCTTTTTCAATACTTAATCAAAGGCTTTGCTTTTTAGCTCATTTTGTAGCCTTTAAAAATGCTCACAACTTGTTGGAGCTAGATTTTTGATTATCGACCTGTGACGTCATTTATGAGCCATTTATATCGAAATTTTGAAAGCTTATTTCTCAGCAACTACATATGATACAATAATGATATATACCTTAAAAATTTTCAATTTTCTTATAAATTAATGAACATTAATAATTTGTAGGATTTGTGAATAAGTTTTGTCAAAAAATGATAAAACCGTAAAACATTAAAATGTTTTGAACACTATTTTACCTTTATTTGATACTTATCTTTCAAATACGGAAAAAAATTCTTATTGCATTAAAAGAGCTTTTAATTTCCTTTAAAATGATATATAACATGCTTGGGGTTTATCAGTAAATGACGTCTAAACTTTTTTTATTGTTTTCTAATGATTTTTGTACCTATTTCTATTTAATTTTAGTCTTCTATTCCACTTTCTTCTATTTTTTCACATTTTTCATCGAAATAAAAGTAAATATTGCCATTTCATCAAAAAATACTAATGTTTTATTAAATGTACATTCAAGTATTTGTTATTGAAGTTTTGCTACTTGAAGAACGAGATTGTCGAATTGTCAATTCTCCAAATTTAATTATTCACGCGTAGAAACCAGACACAAATAAGTTCAAAGTGTACATAAAGATCAAAGAAACACAAAAACTAACCTAGACAAAACTAGAACTACATTGAGGAAGCCAAGATCATAAGCAGTTGTCAGGAGTATTTGTCTCGCAATGGGTTTGGTTGTTTTGATCAATCGCATGCATGTTTTTCGTGTTGATCATTGATACCTTTTATTCTCACAGCATTATTCACACTTTAAGCCTCCTTAATTACAATTTAATAATCTAAAGACGTTTTAAAACTTAATTGACTTAAGCTATTCAAAAAACAATCAAGTGATTATAAGTTGAGTAGTTGTGATAATAAACGAGGTATACGCCTTAACTGAAAATTTAATTAACCAGAATACTCAAGGGGGTTGCTACATTGTAAAATGGAATACTTTTGACATGAAGATTGAAAAAATAGAGATAATTTTTTAGTAAAATATTTGACTTAAACTTTCGTTTATTCAACAACATTTAAGATTTCTTACAATTTTAATACAAATTTGTTATAAAATGACTTCAACAAAAAAAAAATACATAAGTAATTGTTATCAAGAATTAAAGACACAAAACAGCAAATACTATCTTGGTCCTCTCGAGCATTCTTTGTGCTATTCTATCGATGTCTAAAATTATTGATCTTTCGGTTCACAATATTATTAAGGTAGTTAAAGGCACATTAATCAGTTAATATAAGATTTTTTTAAAAAAAAAGTATTAGGCACATCTAATGTAAATTTTTCATGCATGTTCGCATTATTAATCGATTCATTTTTTTTTTTGTTAAGAATTTAAGTAAATTAGAGAAAGATTAGAGAATTAATGACTGATAAAAGGCTCAAAGAATTTTTAATTCTTTCTCATTGTGTTCTCATGAGCGACTCGTAATCTCTTCCTCAACTCTGATGGCATCCTCTCATAACATTTCTTACAAACTGGCTTCTCATCGTACTCGTAGAATTTCGACTTTAGATCCAAATTAGTGTTGCACATATCGCACGAGAAATGATGAACACACCATGCTTTATTCAATGCTGTAAAGACTGTTCAAAATAAACAATAATTAATCAATATTTGTTATTATTAATTCTTTTTATCTTGAATTGCATACCATCGCCAGATACGACTTGATTGCATACGAAACACAAATTGCCGAAAAGTTGGTGATAATGCGTTTCGCAGTAAGCCAATCCACGCTTCTCATAATGTCGATGACCTAAGAATGGCTTCTCACATTTGGCACAAACGAAATGCTCAACATGCCAGTGCTTACCCAAAGCAGTTACAACACGTTCTTCAATTGGACGACGACAAGCACCGCAAATTGGAACCTATGATATAATTTTATAGTTATGACTTGTTTACTTATCATAATGATAAGTTCTCTTACCCCCATACGATCATGACATTTTAAGCAATAAAGCTCATTCATATCATTAGCTGCAAAGCCAGTACGGCTCTTGATTTCACGAGCTGTCGAATCCAATTCAACACCACAACTTGTACAATTGAAGTGATAACCATGATAAACTTCACCACGGAAGCGCAATGGAGCACCATCAATGATTCCATGACACTTTTGGCACGAATACTTTCCAATTTCAGATGCCTTAATGTTTGCATTACATCCATGACACAATGCACGATTGTTGTTGCGAATAAAGCCTGAGTCAGCAAGTTCCTTTGCACACAGTTGACAACGAAAGCATTCTGGATGCCAACTTGCTTGCATTGCCTTAATGACACGTCCGATAACAATTTCGCCGCATTTTGAGCAATATGGAGCAAAAAGAACACGAAAATCTTTCTCGCAATATTTGCGTCCTTCAAACTCGTAGAAAATGCCATCTTGAAATGTTCGGAAGCACTGAGCACAGCTGAATATACAAATGAATTTTTGCTTTAATGCTTGAAGGATTTTGGTTAAATCAACAAGAACTTACACAAAGCACTGAATGTGCCACAATTGTCCATTCGAGTTGACAATCTTCTCTTGAGGCTCAAAGCCTTCATCGCACCTTGTGCAGGTCATAGTTTCCAAACTCATACTGGTTGGCACTCTAAAATGTACGAAATTTTTTATTCAAAAAGTTATTCGCATTCTTTCTTAATTATTCATGCTGGATTATTCATATTAATGATTAGTAAGCACTGGCTTTGGTTATTTGATAGACCAACCCTTTAAATTTTTGAAATTGAACAGATTTTCCCATTTGTGATTCCATTTTTTCGACACCTTCGAGCTCTTTTCACTTTCTGATATTACTCAATGTTAATGTTATCAAGAATTGTCTTTATTTTTGATGTATTGACCGAAAATATATATTTTTTATTAAAGTATTAGTTTGAATGGATGGAAAAAAGGTGCCGTGGGTGGTTTGCTTAGGCGCATTTTCTTGTTCTGGTTGATCAGTTTGGATTGATTTAATAAAATTTATATATTTTAAATTCTAAAGCATGCTCTTTAATTGGTTTTGTAGTTTGAATCCTGGCTGAAGCTTAAATTAGAGGTTTGTCAAGCTTCTTAGCAACCCCAGATAGCTTAGTGGTAAGAATGTATGACCTGAACTCGTAAGAATGTTAGCAACGTGGGTTCGATCCCTAAGCTGAACAAGTTGTTTGAAAGTTTACTTTATTCTGATAAATATGGAATATAAAGTTCCACTATAGTTGCTACAATTCTGACAGAGACTCGATGCCGTAATCGACTTCAAGCTATGTTTCTGGTGGAATCCTTAGACATTACTGAATGCCGAGCTATGCATGTATCAGACTATTTTCTTGTCTACTATAGAAGCCTAATAATCAAACTAGGTTTGGTAAAGCTTTTCCTTAACTTCGAACTAGGGTTTTTAATCCCAGGATTGAAATGTATGTAATTCCGGGATTCAGTACATTTTAAGCCCGGGATTGAAAACCCTACTTCGAAAGGCAGCAGAGAAAAGTAAATAAGAAGAGATAAATGATGGACAAGGTCAGCAACAGTCAGATATAGCCTAAGGTTCTACATAAGAACATGGCGAAAAAATGTAGATTCTGGATTAGCTTTAAACTCGAAGATTAAGTCGTAGAGATTTCAAACAAATTTTCAGACACTACAAAATTAAGCAAAGCAGATCCAGCCAACCCAAAATGATCACAAAACACCAAATAAATCATCGACTGAAATTCTTTTTTTATCGGTGATGATACACATGTATAAATAAAAAGCGTGCATTATGCATTAAATGTCAACATGTTTGTCTGTGATTTATTTAAGTATCGAAATGTATTTTTTTTTTGTTATATTTAATGTGCCAGTACAAAAAAGTCTCTCAAAGTGAAGAAGACTAGCTTTTTTTTGCCGATTAATTCTCATAATTAGACAAGTTAATGAATGAAATTATGTCCCGCATGATGTTAGTTGCATGACTATATGTGAATAAAAATAGATTTTGTATTAATGACGAAATGAAGGCCGCCCAAGCGATTTTTTTTTTCAGTGAGATATTTTCAAGTGAATCTCATTTATTATCCATTTAACTTACTGAGTAATGGGTGGCATATTTGTAATGAATTCAATAAAAACACCGAAATTATGCAAAAATCTACAACTTTTACTGAAAGATAGATGAGAAAATAATCATAAATGTAACCATTTGGCGAGAATTGGATCCATATTTTTAACAAATTTACTCAAAATCCACTATAAACTAAATTTCATGCCTGAATTTTTGCACATATACATGCACTGGATTATTACACTTACATTGCTAATTATATACAAATGAAAAATTTATGATAAACCGATAAGAAATTATTTTTTACTGAATTCGACAGCCACTATAAAAATTATATCTTTTTTCGACTACACTTATAAGTAAGTAAATTCATCCGTGACGTCACGATCTTCGCTATATGTTGGACAATTCAACCTCGATAGTATGACATTGTTTTGATTTTGTTTAAAAATGATCAGTATCGTTGATAATTTTTACTTTTTATCCTGAATTGAGAGTCAGTGGATCTAAAATTCACATCCTATGCTGCAGTTGATGTCTAACATCCAGATTCATAGCTTTAATTGATAAAATATGCAGAATTTGATGTCTAACATCCAAAAATAGAATAAAACTCTGCGATCAATGATTGTGTTGAGCCATACTTGGTATCCTCTACGATAGAATTCCTATGTCCTAGATGATATCAACAATAGCAGCAGCTATTTCTTTCCTATTGTAGTTTAGCCCAAAGTCAATCACAAATAGTCTTATGGAACTACGATAGTATTTATAGTTTATTCATTAAACTTGAATAGTCTTAATAAAAATGTGACAACTAAGTTCATCGCTGATCTAAAGTCATCACATTCTTAATAAAATTTACATTATTTATCTACACAAAAAAATTTCCTTTTATATAATTTAGTTATTTTCGATGACTGCATACATTATGTATATCATTTATGGAATTGTAACAAACGAAATGATTTTAAACAATAAGTTTATCTTGTGTGCCTTTTTCTGATTCAATCACATTTAAAACACAGTTATTTTGTATATATCGTAGACTAAAATGATTATTTTTAAAATAATTACGCGGAAAAATATTTTTCTGTATTTAAGATGAACCATGATAACTAGCGAATAGTATAATAAGTAACACGACGAATGATAGTGATTTTTTTAACTTTGGAATACTTGGAACGAGCATTCAAATTTGTAATAATTCCTTCCTACTTCCATCCCTGCTCAAAATCTTCTTCTCTTTTTAATTGTTCTCACTCTATAATTTACTATGATCTCTAAATAGTGCTTTAATTATCCTTCTTTCCACGAGCACCAGTCATACGGTAGATAATTGAGTCCTTATCTTCAACATTACCTAATGCAAGTGAAATTGCAATAAGTGCAAAGACCATAACAAGTGAGAACCAGAGGATAATGTTGAAAACAACTGGATAGTTGGCTGATGCGAGATCAGCAAGATTGTATTTTACAGCAATATCATCATCTTCAGCTGCGCGCTTTGCTCTCGAGTGATGTGGATATGATGGAATTGTAATGACAGCGACTAAAGCTTCATTATCGTATGTCTTTTGGATGACATCATTTAATTTCTTGAGTGTTGCAGTCAACAACTTGTTAGCCTCAGATTCTGATGTCTTCTTTGAGAGTGATTTCATTGACAAATGGATACTAATGAATGCTGGCTTTGTCTTCATGTTGGCAAGCTACAATTAAGGGACTTATTGTCACTTGACGTTCACCTATAAAAGTTTCAGTACTTACAACATCGCTCATTCGTTGAAGATATGAAATTTGGCTCAAAAACTCCTTATCAGCCTTATCCTTTGAGCTCAAAATTTGGTTCTTCTCGCTTATTGGTGATTGTTCGATTTCGCCAATTGATGTTTCGATGTCACCTTCTTGGTCAATCAAATTAATGTTGATAGCTAAATGACTGTGATCCAAGACTTTTGTGGTAATTGCATCTTCGAAGAAAAAGTCATTGCCAGTAATTTCGAATGACTTTGAGTTCTAAAAGATAAATAGAATTAGTCACTAGATTGCTCGTGATCCTCACTTAATTAAACTTACATCAAATTTCAAATTATTTGCATCTTCAACGACGAATGAGACGACAGATTTGGCAGTATGGAATGGATCTAATACTGATAAGCCATCCCATGGTTCAGTTGAGTACACAGAATATCCAAGACTTGCTGTAAATAGAAAGAAAATTGAGCAAAGAGATTTTTTCATGATAAATTTGACTAATTTTACCAGCAAAAACTTCCGAAATTGCACTTGATGGCAGGTCTGATGAGCCTTTGAAAACTATAGATTTAGGCGAGCTAAGGATGGTAAAATCATTGCAGCTTACTGGAAATAGATAAATTAAGAGTTCACATGACAATCAAAAAAATCGATAATTTTTGATTATATCAGAAAATTTTCATTTTCTAGCTTATGATGATGTTTTTGGCGATTCCTTTAATTTGTAGACGTGCTGGATGATTAATTAGATTTGTGAAACTAGTACTTACCTATAGAAATCACGGTGAGAACGATTAAAATTGATTTTTCCATTTTAAATAAATTCTATTTTTCTGTCATATGACCCAGAGTTGTTCAGACAGACTTTAGCAATTATTAAGAGTCTCTGATGCTCAATAATTTTCTTAATTTTGAATTTTTAAAAATCGTTACTTTTTGAAAAATACCCAAAATACCTAAAGTAATTAAAATTGCAAAAAATAAAATTCAATTGTTGCTCTTCATTTTTTAATGGTTATTGCTCATTTTAGATCAGTTGAAATATTAAATTAAATTGTATCACACTAGTCCCAAAAAAGCTTTTAATAGGAATAAGATAAAAGCTTTAATTAAGCTTACATTAACAAAGCTTAAAGTAAGTTCACATTCAATAAAAGCTCAATGAATCAATCGGACTTACTTCAATTCTAAATCCAACACCCTAGAGATTTTTATCGTCATTTATTTGATTAGCTCTTCTTATAGTTCTGATAACAATCAATCAATTGTCTATAAATGCTGAGACACAGCTACTTTTTAATTCATTTAAGTTTTATTTTTAATCAAATCTTTAAAAAGGCTTAAAAATGAAATTTCTAACCTTGTTTCTGGTCAGTTTATTCTTTGCATCTAGTTTCCAATATTCTACAGATTATTATACAGAATTAAGGATCAGAGATCAAAGAGCACTTGATTTGACAGGTGCATTAGTTGGAGTAGTTGATCAATTAATTCAAACAGTGTCTGGTGCCTTGAACAATTTACTTACAACCGTTGGAAATTTGGTTTTAAATGGAATCACAAGTATCGAAACTGCTATTCAACAAGCTATTGCGAATTTTGTATTTGATCTTTTGAAAGCTAAGGATGAAATTGAAGAACTTATAGGAGTAGGAATCGTTGGATGTTTTAGCGAAACTGATGGAAAATTTCAGGATATTAAAACTGAAACAATTGAAGAAATCACAGAGTGTTATTACGAAGGAAAAGATATACTCACATCAATTAGTAATGATGTTGAAAATTTTGGATACGCCAATCAACAGATAATTTCAAATGTCAGAGCAACAATAGAAGACTGCTTAAAAAAACCCTCATTTGGAGATAAGATTACATGTGCAGTGGAAGCAGCTGCTATAATACGTAATTCAGTTGAAGCTTTGCTACAAAACATTGACAATACAGCAAAATCTATAACATCTAAAATTGAAGATTCAATCAAAGGATCGTACGAATGTATTGATAATCAAATTAAAGCAGGAGAGGAACAAATTAGTGATATGTTGGAAGAAGTAAGAGAATGTATCGCACTTAAATCTACAACTATAGCCACAACGCCAGATCAAACTACTACTCCTGAAGTTGGCACAACAACAGATCCAGAACAAACTACTACTACTACTGAGGTTGCCACAACAACAGATCCAGAACAAACTACTACTACTACTGAGGTTGCCACAACAACAGATCCAGAACAAACTATTACTACTACTGAGGTTGCCACAACAACAGATCCAGAACAAACTACTACTACTACTACTGAGGTTGCCACAACAACAGATCCAGAACAAACTACTACTACTACTGAGGTTGCCACAACAACAGATAGAGAACAAACTACTCCTACTACTGAGGTTGCCACAACAACAGATCCAGAACAAACTACTACTACTGAGGTTGCCACAACAACAGATCCAGAACAAACTACTACTACTACTGAGGTTGCCACAACAACAGATCCAGAACAAACTACTACTACTACTGAGGTTGCCACAACAACAGATCCAGAACAAACTACTACTACTACTGATTTTGAATGATATTCAGCTTACTTGGAAACATTTGAAATTCAATATCGTCTTGTGTTTCCAATACAATTTTTTATTGTATCTTTTTTCGCTTATTTCTGGATAAATCCTTAATGCAACAATAATTCTTAAATAATAATTAAGTGTGAAAAAGTTAATAAATTAAACATTGAGAATTTAACAAACTTAAAATTTTCCCAAACTTTTTGACTTTTTAACATTGTCATGATTGGGATTTGTTGTATTAGAATTAAGTGTTTTAGAATCGGATGATTCATTAAATAAATTAAGACTTTGTCTGCACAATACTGGAACTGTATTCATTTTTTGAACTTCTTTGGTATTTCGCTTTAGTTTAACTTTGCGAAGTTTTGTTGCCAAACTCGACAATCCAAATTTTGAATGCTTTTGTGAATCTTTCTCAAACTCTTGATTCATTGCGGCACTTGGGAGAATATTTCTTGGAAGTGATGATGTTTTAGCTTCATTTTCAGGGTCGTCCATACAAGAATCTTTCGTTGGCAATACACCACAGCTATTTGACATGTTCTCTATGCTGTTACTGTCCGTACTTCCAACAGATATTTGACTCATTCGATAACTCCATTTTGTTTGCTCATCGGTCATTGATGTCAGTGTGCTCTTGAAGAAAGCTTCTTTAGCTTGTTTTATCCTCAAAGCTCTTTCACTTATTGGAGTCCTTGGCTTTTCTAATTCCTCATTCTTGTTGCTACTTTCTTTAGCACATGAAGAGTCACTCATGTAATCTGACGACCGAATAACTTGAATGTGAGGTGTTCTATTAACTTTTGGGATAGCACCTGTTGAAACATTTGGAACTTGTTGCTCTATTAGCTGTTCAATTACATTCAATCGAGATTCATTTGATTCAATTTCTTGAACATTATTTCCATTTTCAGTCGATTCTGTTGACTCTGACTCAATCAATTCAAATTGTTTTTCATTTTTATCAATAAATATCTCCGACTTGAAAGGTTTCTCAGATGTATCATCACGTGACTTTATTGGAACGCCCTCATCTTCATTTTCTTCAGTCACATCGATTTCTTGGAAGCTACTTGACTTTAAAATCTTAAACTGATACTCAGCACTTTGTTTTCTGACACGCCTATCAAGAACTGGTGATAACCAGATTGGTGATGAAGAATTGGAATTTGATTTAGGCTTGTGCTCTATATTGTGGTGATATTTTTCAATCATGAGCCTAATACTCGGAGATAAATCCTTACGTACACATTCAGTTTTCTCATTTACATTAGCTTCAATAGTTTGTGATGACAATTTCAATGAAATGTCAGCGGATGACGTGGCTTCATTTAGCTCTTTAGTTTCTAGCTTATTAACTTCCTTATCATTTTTCTCTGAACCACTTGACGATTCAATTTCACGGCTAATGAAAAGTGCGTTATTATTAATTTCATTATCATTGCACTCATATGGAGTAAATATTTTTCGCTTAGTTTTTACAATTGGATTCTTATACGTGTTATTAATGTCATTTGCTGACACTTCAATCAATTCAACACAATTTTCAGTTGGAGATATTAAAACTGAATCATTATGCTTAGTGTCTGAAATCTCAATTGTTGTTGTTGTAACTTCATTTGTCTCGCCAGGTTTAATTTTAAAAACATACACGACTTCCTCCTCACCTTGGAAACTATCAAAAGACTTGTCAGAATCAGGTTGCTTTTTCGCACGACTAGACTTTCTCTTGACTTTTCTTTGAGTTTCTGAAGTTAATGTATACTCGTCATCACTATCACTTTCTGTTTTACTATTCTGTCGAGATCCCATACGACGTAAGCGTATTTTTCTTTTTGAACTGCTACTTGAATTTCTTGTCACTTTCTTTGTTGATCTATCGTCACTTCTCATATCCTCAGTACTTAATTCTGGCATTTCTGATTCAGATGATACTTTTAAATGTGCAATATTATTGTTTATAGGATCTTCAACTTTTACAGAATTGCAAATGAATGTGGGTGTAATTTTAATCGTTGCTATTGCTTTATCCTCGGAATTTTGTATGGAACTTGTTGCTTGATATTGATATTCATTATGAGAACTGCTTTCATCCTCCAAGTGCCTTAATGTCTCTTCTAGTCTGATTAAATTCTTATTAATCTCAGATGATAAGTTGTTAAGTGTTGGAAGGACATATTCGTATGATGTTGTTCTATGGATCTGAAATATAACGGTTATATGTTATTGGAAATAGGACAAAAGAAATATTTCTTACCGAGTCTCTCAGCTGTCGAGTGATTTGAAATATTTCTAATTTATCGTCCTTCTTATTGAGCTTTGTTCTTTGCAAATGTTCGGTTAGATGCCTTGATGCTTCAATCAAATGCTGTGAAGAATTTTTTTTTTATCATACAATGAACTGCCAGGTTCAAATCTAGATTGATCTTACTTTCATATTATCCATATTGTCGATGGAATTTATAATCGTTTCATCTAAAGATGTCTCATAGAACTGCCTGGTCAGCATTTTCAGGTCTTCAAAGGCTCTCTTGAGTTCTTCTCGTCTACTGCTTCTATTGGATTACAGAATAAAATGTTAAAATAAATAATATTGAGTTGTAATACTAACCTTAAATCTTTGCTTGCGAAGTCGAACTTGAAAATCGGAATCTGCATTTGAGGAGAAGCAGATGAAATTATTTCACACCCCTCATCCTCAACTTCGACAATTACTGCTTCCGGCTCTTCTGCTGCACTCTCAAAACTCTCGTTTACTTCACTGAATAATTCAAGATTTGAGGAAGTCTAAATGAAAATAAACATTTGAGGAGAAATATTAAGAAAATGATCACATAAATTTCTCGAGGAATACCCTAAAGTATGTCTCAAGGTAGAGCAAACCCACCACTGGTCTTTTTCTGACCTTTTTCTCAACAGGTTCCTTCATATTATCAGCATCATTTAATGATAAGCTCGAAGGCTGTGAGTGAGACATTTGTGAACAGGATTGGACAGGTTTAATGCTGTCTACAGACAATGCTCGTTTCATGCCGTTTTCAAAGTCATTATCATTCTCATTGATAGTCGCTTTATATTTTGGATGTAAAAATGCAAATGTTGATGAGTCACTTGCAGGTTCAATGCCTTTAGCTTTCTCCCACTCATAGAGCTTCCTCGTGAAACTTCTTGATATTCCTTTAAATTTCATTAAGCCTTCTGATGTTTGAACGACAATTTCTTCTTCCATGTCTAATGGAATATCCAATGGAAAGACTTCTGCATCTGACTTGTCATCAGACGTTTTTGTTTTCTTCATGCTTGACTCATGTGACGATGAGGATTTATCTGTTTTTGAAAATTGCCTTTTAAATTTCTCGTGTACTGATGTCTGATGCGAGTATGGTGGTGGACTTCGACCTCCTGCCTTCATTTGCTTCCATTCATCTAAAGAGAACGAAAGAATAGTGTAAACAGACTGTAAATGTTTATTATTGCTAGACATATTTACTAAATTTCTTCTGAAATTCCTCTGGTAAATCTTTAAACTCGGGCAATGTAACGAGACCTTGCTCATATCTTGTATGGGGTGATTTTAGAGACATTGATTTCTTCGATGGCTCTTTCATTGACTGATGTCCTTTCTTTACTCGCCATTCGTTGAGTTTTCGTTTGAAGTCTGCAGAGAGATTTTCTTCATTCATCAGAAGATTATCAATGATATTTTTGGGAGTACTAGGTAGACTTAAATCCTCCTTCAAATATCCAGGAACTGAATTATTCAATTGAAGGACCAGTGGTCTCATTTTTCCCCATTCTTGCTGCTTTGACTCAAACTCTGTATTAATTTTTCTTTGCAGCTCTTGATAATTCCTCATAATCTCATATTGTTGACGTGATGATTGTGATGAGTTGTTTGAGCCCCTCTTGAGAGGCGAGAGTGGTTCCGAGTTGGAAAAGTCGTTATCACCACCACTTGAAAAGTCCACTTCAGAGAAGAATTCTTGATTTTTCATCGGACTATTTGGATCTGATATTGACAAGTTTCTATGATGGTATAGCTTTTTGATGGTCGGTGTGATGATGATACTTCCCTCAATGCTGTCGGTTTCGCTAAAGTCCTGTGAAGAGAAGATTTATCATTTGAGTTATTTGAGAACAAACTCAAATTTAAGCTACAAACCTTTTTTATCGTTAGCGGACTAGGTAAATGCCTTCTACTGTAGCTAGTTTCAAATGCCTCATCCTCTGGTAGACTTTCAATTTCCGGAAATGTTTTGCTCTTTTTTGAACCTTTCTTACTCTGCCTCAAATTTCTCACAGGCCTCCCATCGTTTAATCTGTTCTCATTTTCATCACTCGTTGGACATAAATCAATATCAGGAATTCCAAGATTTAAATTATTAGGTGATGATGACGAATGATTTGGTGATGAAATGGAGTCACTTCGATCTCCAAATGGATCACTATTAAACTCTATTGGACTCACATCACGACTATTTCCACTTCCTGTTGATTTTATAGACTTTCGCGAATTTCTATTTGTTACAATGCCCTTGACCTTGCTCCATGCTGACTTACTGTTTTTATTATTGCTGTTCGTCTTGTCTGAATGATGTGTGTTTGCTCCAAATGTAAGCTCTCCGTCTAATGAATGACTGCGTCTTTCATCATCATGAAATGATGGCGGACGAATATAATTTCTTGCTTTAGTTGCTGTCATAAGAAAAACATAAATTTCAATTTTTTTTTTCATATTCATTTTTAAATAAAATTATTGCGCTTGGGACAGTTTACATGTTACGATCTCTTCTTTCCACCTCATGTTATTGCTTATTTATCCGATTTAGATAATTCTTAATGTTCAGTCCAGGAAAAATCATTTTCGCTCTCACTACAAAAATCACATGCTGACCATTAAATAAACAAACCTAAATCACATGATTATTTATTGTTCACAAATTTACGCAATTCCAGTTGTTTTAATTCACACCATACGATCGTTGAGAGATGAGGAAATTTTAAAAATAAATTGCCTTGACTATTTTTAGAACTCATCAATTGGTAATTATAGAAAAAATATGCTAAATGAATTATATTTAAAGTGTTTCGTTCAATTTTTTTTTTTAAATAAACCATAATACGAACGACGTGTGTACATGTGGAATTTTGTTTAAAACTTGGACAAGACACGCGCTTAAGATAATAAATTTTTCATCTATACCCTGGGATATTCTCGTACAAATCCACGAGAAAGAAAGGAAGAAAAATGATGTTATGATCAATAAATCTGGTATTTTGCTTTTATCGCTAATTTTTAATGATATTGATTTGTAAACATGAGAATTTCACAGAAAAAAATGTGATTTTGTTAAATTCTATTGAAATTGTTCTGAATCTGTTAGATATTAGGTGATGTTAAGGGGGTATTTGGGATTGATGTTGAGATTTTAGTATTAGTGATAATACTTCACACTCCTTCATGTTCCTTAATTCCTCAAAATAGATCCCTCACTCCAATATTTTGATCGATTTGAAGTAAATACTTCAACATGTCTAAACACTGGAACCCTTCATTAATTATTACAAATATTATTTATCCATCAAACATCTAGTCATCTAAATCACCTTGAGAATAATTTGTTCAACAAACTTTTTTAATCAGTTTATGCCAACATTAATAAATCTTGATATTTACATTTAAAACACATGTTTGCGATCACCAAAGAGTGTCAATAATCAAAAACTACTTAATCTTAGCCTCTTCTAAGTCATTAATCTTTAGATTACATCTCAAGTGCTCCTCTCAAATTTTGAAAGCTTTTATATTCAAAATATTTAGTTTATAAGAGAGAAGTGCATGGAGAATCCACAATGACACGTGATAAGCCTACTCTAAGTATGAATTTGGAGCAAATACCAAGTGGGTTATTGTTTCAAGAGAATCTGAAGGTGCTGTGTATGATGTATGACAGGTAAGCGTGTTAAAATACTAGAAATTGGCTTGAGTTGATAAAGGTTTCAATCTGTTCTCATTGTTTTGAGATTCAGCTAGATTATGATTGAAGAAGAACTAGAGAAGATCCTAAAGACTTATTGCTGAGCATATTTCAGCATTCAATGTAAGACTAATAATCAAATTAAGGTAAATATATTAATTTTAAAATTCTGGAGGTCTCTAGAACTGAATTAGAAAACGATTTGAGCACACGTGTTCAATTCTTTTCGAATATGCAAAAGCCAAACATCATTTAAGGGAAGTTTAAACTTTAAAAAATTTAAACAATTAATTTAATTCAACCGTAAAATCCTACAATATAGTCTCACTAGTCGCAGTGACGCTCGTCGTCTACACTTCGATTTTCAGCAAGCCAATTTTCGCCATTAATTTTCTTTTCATTACAATAAAACACTTAAAAGTCAAAGAAAGAATAAGAAAAAAAAATATTTTAATAAAAAAAAATGTAATTATGCGTCGATTGATGCCGAGCTATTGACGTAAATCGAACAAATTTTTCAATTTTATTCTCAACTACTAATAATAATTAGTCGACGTATTGGACAAATTAATTTCATTTCTATTCGCTTTATTCTCTTTGAGGAAATTTATTGACGAAATCTCTTTAAGTAGATAAATTAGAGTTGTATAAATGATCTAAAGTGCTGAATGAATTTTCTTCCTCCTCAATCTCGTACCTTTTATCTCGTAAATAACACGAAATAGAATTTAACGTAAAATACTCGACATTTTTGAGGTTTTTTGGTTTATCCTTGAAAGTCAAACGTCGTATTTTGTTTAAATTTCTATTTTTAAAATCACAACACAATTAAATTGCGTGGTCGCGACAGATTAAAGTGCATTGACGTTTTCATTTTTAACTTTGTGGCAATAAATCGAAAAGTAAGTATTGTTGCCTTTTCCGAAGATAATTTAAAACATTTCAAAGGAACTGCTTTCTTATTTATGAAATGCAATTACGAAAGTCTGTCTATATGCGATCGATGAGAGGTTGATGAATATTGATTCAATACAAAATATTTTCCTTTAGCTTCGATTCTAAAAGAAATTGGAATTCCGAATATTTAAAAAGTAGCAATTAAGAGTCTAGATTCAGTAGCTAAATGAAGAGAGCGAGCTTATAAACAAATCATCAAATTTATGGTTCACAAGAAGATGGGAGATCACGATCGTAAGCATCTTATAGAAAATATCCATTACATTCTAATTATATTGAACATATAAACCTACTTTCATCGTTTTCATCGCCAGAACTTGGTGCACTAGATATAACATCTCGTTGAGAGCCAGATGTAGCCGTAAGAACTTTCCCAGATGAGGTGCTGATACATGAATCACCAGAATTACATGATAGCGGTGCTGGTGTTGATGGAACTTTTAGAAAATTCCTTTGAAAAAATTTAAAATAATCAAATATTTGGTTTTTGTAAATATTGTTTGTTTAATTACTTATATGAATCATTAGCAGGTGAAAGAATCGCATCTGAACTTTTCGATTCATTGAGTGTTAATGTGTTCGCCTTTTCCCATTTAAATGCTGCCTTTACTTTTGTCCATTTTGAAACCTTTTAATAATTAAATTCAATTAAAAACTGATTTATTTTCAAGGGTTGTTTTAGCTACCTTTGGCTTGAAATCTGTTATAGCACTTTGACGACGTAATGGATAATTTCTATTATTTTCTTTCAATGGCATCATATTATCATCTGTCTCTGATATAACCGACTTACTCCTCTGCCTTTAAAACAGTTTACTAATATTAATTTTTCTTGCACAAAAATTAAGAGATTATAAAAATATACTTTTTTGAAGCACTTCGTTTACTGCTTGCGCTTTTACTAGCTGCTAACATTGTTTCTAGATCCGCAATGTTCTGTTCAAATTCAATCATCCCCTCATTATCCATATCAGATCCGTCTTCAAGAAACACATTAGATTTCATGAACTTTTCGGGATCTGAATTTATCTATTGAACAAAAAAAAAAGTTAAATATTTTGAAAATAATGAATATTAAAATAAATGGGATATACAACATGCAACTTAAAAGTGGCGTAGGATAATAGCTTTAAAAACAATCGAAATTGTTTATACAACTTTTTTGAAAGTCATGTTATGCAATTGACGAAAGAAACTTTTGGAGCATTTCAATAATGAAAATTCATTCAGTAAATTCAAGTTTCCAAGGAAAATTTTCCAAACAGCATTTTTCAGCAGATTATAATGTCTTCATATTTCAAACTTATTCGTTCTTCTTCTGAACAATTTTTCCGGTGAAAATTTATTTTTTCATGAAAAAATTTCTCAGTAAAAAAGAGTTTTAAATGTTTTCTAATAAACACTTTTATTTTGCAAGATCAAACAGATTTTTTATGCAGAAAAATAAATCATGAATCAGATGATTATGGATGAAACAGGAAGTGATTGGTATTTGCAGTTGGAATTCACTAGATATACAATTAGGGATTTCAATACCAGACCAAATATTTCAATTCCGGGATTACGGTTCAAACCCGGGTTTAGATTCGGTTCAGAAACTGGTGTAAAGTCGCGTTTAACACGTTCAAAAAAGGAGCTTTCAATTACAAATAATTGTATTAAAAAAATTTTAAGTAGAAAACTAAACCAGAAAGTTAAAGTTTTTCCAAATAAATCAATATTTCCATTTCTTGTCTTGTCTGAACTTTTTAACTTTACAATGAAAGCTTTTGTTAATTTTTATAAAGATTATCTTTTAGCCTTTCATATCAAAAATGATTTAAAATTTTCAGTAAAAATTTGATTTTTTTTTGTCGAGCTATTATGACTATTCTTTTGTAAAAACTTTTAAAACGTTTGTTTTATAAAAAATCAATAACTATAATTTGTAATTTAAATAATAGATTTTATCGCAGCTTTATCAAAGATGCATTCGAATGATCATAAAATCTATTTAAAATTCAAAAATATTCAATTTTTTTGAAATTCACTATAGGCATACGATTACACTTTTTCAAACACTTTAGAAAATTTTGAAAAGAAAACTGTAATTTAAAAAGAATTCCTAAAATATTTGGTAAAAACATCCTGGTTTTCATTATTTTACACTTTAAAATTAACAAAATTTGTGAGAATCTCGGTTTTCGGGATCCCGGTATTAAAATTCCTATATACAAATATTCTTACAAGAAAATTGATCAATATTTACACCAAAAAAAAAATTACTAAAATTATCTTCACAATTTGTATACACATCAAGCTCCCATGAAACTCACTTGTATTTCCATTTCCTTTAGAGCATTAAGCGTTTTAACAGTCTTCAATCGTTTTCTCATTTGATAATTTTGTTCTTGAACAGTCAACAATTGATGAATGATACGATGTAAATTGTCGAGTTGATCGAGTGATTCTTTAGTAGCTAAGAGTGTCGAAATTGTTGCTTGCGTACGACTCATCAATGGGGCAATATAGTCACGACATTCTTCTTCACACATGTTATTATTATTATTATTATTATTACTTTTATTAGTGATATTCGTAGACATTTCGGCGGCTTGATTTATTTCAACATTTTCACTATCGAGACTTTTTACATTCTCATACAGCAATTCTTCACGCTCTTTTAAGCTAGTCAACATTGTGACAAGTTGATCATTATTGCCTTCGATTCGTATTATTGCATTGCTCTTCTTACTCACTGCACTATTTTCGGATGGAATTTGTGGCACTTCAGGAAGATTCGTTATGTCGATCGATTTTTTCCTCGACATTTTTTCTGAATTCCGTAACACATTTGGTGCTCTATAATTCACACATACTTTATTGCCTCTTCACTTCCGTTTTCCCTTCGGCAATTTTTCCACATTTCACTGTTATTGATTATTATAATTTAATAGCACAAATGATATATTATAAAAATCTAGTCTATAGATCACTTTTTAAGTCATTGATTTCGTGTTGACCATTTATTTTCTGTTTCTCATATGTGAGAAATTTTCAAAATGTATTTTTAGCGAAAAAAGAAAAAAAAATCTTTTCAAAAATAAAGAAAAAAAAATGTAAATTAAATTTATTGCATGAACAGAAATCAATGCTGTGCACAATAAAAATACACACCGATTCTCAATCTAAATTAGTGACAAAATACTTTCACTATTATCGTTATTAATAGTATTATTCATAATTATTCTTCTCACTCTCCTTCATCTTAAATTTAAAAATAAAAAATTACTTTATTTTGTTTAAAAAATAAGAAACTATAAATAAATTTTGAGAATGAAATTGAAAAAGGAAAGAAAAATGAGGAATTAAGCGGTGCTAAAAAATACTTTTCTCGATCGAGATTAATTCACAACGAAAGACCGCGTTGAACTGAAACTTAAACTCGCTCAGCGGCTCAAGGAAAATCTCTCGGAAAATGAAAATATAGAAAAAAAATCGACATCTCAATATTTTTTTCTGTTTTCTTTTTTTGAAAATGTAAAAAAAAATTTGAGAGCATAAAATTTAAAAGTAAGAAAAATAAATTCTCAGACATGTGAGTCGAACAGAAAAGATATTGTGAGAACATGTAAATAAATAGTTTAATATGATCATTCTGCATGTGCTTACTAATGAGACGTATGTGAGATTTTTAATGTATCTTTTCTACGCATAATTTAATTTTCTCCATTTACTCATCCCGTATGAGTCGGTTGCATGGAATGCGGGGAAATATTTCTTCTCAATTTATGTTTTTCCATCCTTCATTTTTCATCGTTGCGTTTGCATAATTCTTTTCTGACATCTTTAAATGTATATTTTTCCCACAAAACACGTGTAGAACTGTAACAATTTGTCATATCTGGATGATTTAGTCAGTTAAGAGTCATTTTAAGAATCTTTAATTGAAATTTACAGTAAACTTAGCTTAATTCTTTTAGAATTTCTTTTAGAACTATTTAAGAGTTAAGACTGTTTTAAGTGTTATCTTACTTATTATTGATTAATGTTGATGTTTTGAAGATTCTTACCATGTTTATAACATCTTCTTGATGAAAACGAAAATTTGACAATAGCAGAAAACAAATCTGTTTACCCTGTTTTTTCGTTATAAGCTACTAATCGCTACTAGCTTAGTAAAGTTTTTTTGAACTTGAAATTTTTTTGTAATCTTTACTAAGCTACTACCAAAATTAAAGTTTAATTAATCTTTTTCAACTTTCTAAGTATCAGTTTCAATGATTTATGACATTGTCAATGAAATAAAATCGAGATGATATCAAAATTTCTTTAATTAAGTTAAAAATTTTCATTGAAGTTCAATTTCTTTACTAAGCTATTACTCGTTACTAAGCTACTAGTGAGCCAAAAAAATCACTTTTTTTATTCTTCTAAGCTACTAGCTTATAACGAAAAAACAGGGTACGAAAATTCTATAAGTTTTTAAAGTACAAAAACCTAAGTGATCATGAATCAAACCAAAAATTTCAAAACTCAATCATCCGTTACATCAAACCTAATTACAGAAATGTTGTAAACTATAATTAGAGTAGATTAAAAATAAATATTTTTGCAAAAATACAGCTTGCACCATTCATAACTATCTCAACTCATTTTTTTCTGAACGTAAAATTTAATATTGTGTAAAATTTGTGTCAACAATATTGCTCTGCATTTATTTTTACAATAAGTCGTTGAACACTTTAAACCACCTCGCACATCTTTCATACTCTTTTATATCCACAAATAAAATTAAGCGAATTAAACATTTTGCTCTGCAACGATTACTTCAACATGCCACAATGATTCAGATTTGAAAAAAAAATGTTTAAAAATTCGAAAATAACAAGTTAATTAAACTTTATGTTTTAAATGCTAGATTAAAGAACATGATTTGTTTTATATTCTGTAAAAATATCTCATTCTAATATGTTGTCTAACTTCCAAAAATTCGATTCTAAGATGACAATCAATTTGTTTACAAAATGACAACAAATATTTTTCTTAAATTTTTTCTCCTTTCTACTTCTAATTTCTTGTTTTAATGCTGATAACTAGCTTAATTAAGCTTAGTACTTTGTGTTTGTGTGAAGAAACTAAAGGAAAACCTATTAATTGAGCGAATATTCATGATTAATTTTTTTGAAATTTACAAGACTTTAAACACTTATAAGTTAAATTTACGTCTCTCCGCATCTATCAAACCTATTAAAATCCAAAGAATTAAGTCTAATTAACCTTCCATTTTAATGTGTACATGCCCAAATTTGTAAAATAAAATTTGTAAAGAAAACTAAACTAAGAAAGATTTTATGACTTAATATTTTGAGGAATCAATAATCAAGTAAGATTTGAGGCATTAAAAGTCCTAAACTAGAGAATATTAACAAAATATTTCATTACTTTAATATGTCTGAAAAATATTATGTACAAGGGTTATTTGAACATTTTTTTCAAATCTGAATCATTGTGCATGCTTTAATTACAATTAGCACATGAATATGAAATTTTTCACACAAATTCATCATCTAATTATATACTGTACTTAGTAAGCTTTTATAAATTAGGCAGATCGTATTGCAATTACTCATTGGATGTGCAGCAATTTCAATATATTGTACGTATATGAATTTGCAAAAAAAGTGCTCTTTGTTACTCCAACTTATTCACCAATATCGATTCAATAATTTTCTTATTCTCTCTCTTCTAGTCTTGAAATAGCCACAGTTATTAATATGTGAAGTAATAGCTTTACATGCACCTCTACGTCCACTATATGCAATGTCAGCCTCAATATGTACACATTTACTGCCGTTTCCTCGCTCAATTTTGTATTTACCTACCGGCTTCTTCAGCATAGCTATGGCATTGAATTGAATGTCTACATTTTCGCCTCTCTCTCAAGCTTGCTTGCTCTACACGTTAGACTTATAGCTCATTTGAGTTTCAGTTGCTGTACTAGACATTAGTTATTATTGACCACGCGTATCATCAACTTCACAAATTATATTCATTATTCAAAAATAATGGAATTTAAAATAGACTTTTAAAGCTCTAATAAGTCTGTGAAATTTTTTGTTTTGTTTCTTAAGAAGTGATATTTATCGTAGAACCAATAAAATTCATTTAACAAGTCAATAATAGCAATTAATTCATTGGAATAAAACTGAAGGTGAACTTACTGAGTGATTTTGAAATATTTTGTATTGCCAAGTGCTGCTTTCAATAATTTACGTACTAATTGTATCAAATAAGAAGAAAATTTAAAGGTCATGGATGTTTTTTGTGTGGATATTTGAAATACCAAATGCTTCGAGGTGTTAAAAAAAATCACAGAAATTGAGAAGAAAAAAAATCAATGTTAATGTTGATTTAAAAGTTTGTGTAACTTAGATTAAATTTTGAATTAATTCATTATGTAGCTAGGAGTCTTACACGTCCAATGATTAAAATGTTTAAGAAATAGAAAGATGTAGGAAATATCCAAGTCTTATGTTACTGCATGAATCCTTAATAATATCTTTGAATATTTATCCCGAAAAGCACAACATACCCTTTATCAACACGATTACTCAGGCTGATCTAGCCTATCAAGTTGGATATCATTTACATTTAGTCAAAATTTGTGTCTTCAAACTGATTTGAATTGCAATAACAACAAAAAGTACAAAAACAAACAATACATTGACTAAGATCGAATCCTGGATCGCTAATTCATAAGGTTAACACCCAAACCTTATCTGTTATATAAAAGCCCAATTCACTGATTCACTGACTCTTTAACGGAAGCCATGTGAAGACATTTGTGAAGCCGTGTGAAGCCAATGATTTGAGGGGTGCTGACAAGGTGGGTGTCAGCTGGGGGGGGGGGGGGGGTCCGAATTTGAGGGGGTTTGTGGGAAAAGTTTGGTGTCAGGAATATTTTGTGAAGCCATATAAAATTTTGTGAAGCCATGTGAAGTTTTGTGAAGCCATTTATAAAATTTTTGAGGGATTTAGGGGGTCCGAGTTTGAGGAGGGTTGTGAGGCCATGTGAAGTTTTGTAGTAGGATTGACCTTAAAAACATTATGGTTATTTGCGTCTTACAGTTACTTACATAATAGTAATCAAACGGATAGCCTAGTCTACTTATAAAATCGTGTACATCAAATTTCATTTAATTATAAGATGCATCAATTCGCAATAATATCACATTTTGTAAGTCCATCAACAACACATTCGTGTTTCATGTCGATAATCTAGCTATTTGAAGCATAATAATCCTTACTTACAAAAGCCTATTGCAATTTTAAGTTAATTAGCTATAAGCTTGTCGTAATACTTTTAAATTTCACTCGATTGACTTCTCATCTTAACAAGAGATTACAATGAGATGAGCAGTTTTCAGGTCTAACCTCAATCTACAGGTTAAATAATTCAAATCATCCGACATATTCAATAGCCAAACCACGAAAATTAATATTAATGCGCAACTTTCGACATTGACATGTGCTTGCTGCATTGTTTTTCAATTCACGAATATTAGAATTTATCTGCATACAAAGTGCTACTTTTACCTCCAAAAAAAAAAAATAAAAATATATTTTAGCACAGACAATGCATTCTCATACTAAATTAGAACTAGATGCAACAATGCTCGTCTGAACCACGTTTGACTTCAATTATATTTATTCATCTCTTTAAAGCGACTAAAGAGGTAAATTAAGCAAGACTGAAGATATTTTTTTCATGATTAAATGCTGAATTATTTGATGCCAAGGTCATGGCTACTTTATGAGGCTTATTAGATGCTGCTGTTTATATTTCTTTCTCACTTTTCTATGTCACGTTGAAGGTGACTTTTTCAAAATCAGAAAGAACTTTCAGAACATAATCAGCACAATAACTCTTAATTTCTGTAAAAATAAAATCAATTCACATTCTGCATGGCTGAAAATCACCTCTAAACGTTACAAAACCACTTTGTTTATTTGAAAATAAATTATCCTAAACATGTGATGTAGATTGTACCACAAATAATTATGCGAGTATAGTTTATACTGAAAATTTCGTTAAAAGACATACAGATTTGTTTGCAAATGATGTCCAGTATTTAAAAGAAGTTAGATTAAAACCTTTGTGATATCAAATGGCTCATTAAGTTGGCTGAGTCAGAGATTTTCATTATTTTAAAAGCTGTAAGCTACTCCCGTTGTTCATAAATTAATTCTATGTCTTATGTGAATGTGAGATGAAGGAAGCAAGGCTCTTAAAGTCCCTTAATTATGATCGACGTCATTCACGATCAACCCTAATAAAACCCAATGTTAATGCACTTCATTCTATAGCCAATAACCGGTATGTTTTGTTATATTATTGCGCATACACAGCAATGCAATCACTATGTCGTAAGACTTAACATTGAAAAGTCGAAAACATGAATGGGAAATAAATAAAAATTATTTAAAGTTTAATGTCAGCTTCAATTATACCTTAATAAATTTATGGTCCATAAAACTTAAAATGATCTAATTTTCCACCTTAATTTAGACACTAAATAAAAGAAATGCTTCGGGTGCTTTTCATATGCTTTATAGCATGTTTGAATTTTCTCACGATCAATTCGGATCCACTTGAGGACATATTTGCAAACTGTCGGATAAGCAAACCAGATTTTGATGAATGCTTGAAGTATGCGCTCAATCAGCTAAATCCATTATTTAAATACGGCTTACCTGAGTACGGCGGTAAGTAATTCAATTATTTTTTTGTAGGTTAATGGCTGTATTCTGAAATTTTAATTTTATTCAGTTGCACCATTTGATCCACATCGACAGTCTTATGTTGAGCAATTTAGAGGAAATGATAGAGCAATTGGAGGATATAAGCTTTTGCTCAAGGATGTCTCTGAATATGGATGGACGCAGTCAACAATCACTATATTAAGGTTTAAATCGAAAATTTATTAATTCTATTGAAATAATATAAAAATCTGAATATTTTAAGGACGGACTGGAAGAACAATGCACTGATCTATACACAGCAATTTCCAGAAAAGAGCCTTGATGGAAAGTATGAATTAGAATCCAAAGTTCTTGGTCTACCAGTCACAAATTCAGGAAATTGGAGTTTAGTGCTGTATGATTATAGTCAGACTACAACAGTGACTAGATTGGGTCCAAAAGGTTAGTTGACAAGATGGTGGTAGAGAAGTAAAGATACCCTCATAAAGGAACTGGTTATATATCGAACAAGATGCTAAAACTTGAGAATAAACAGCCAAATCTATCTTATTACCTTTAGGTAGTCGCCTTAAAGTACGAGTTGTCATTGACAAAATTGGTGGAATGAGTCTTCATATATCAGACCTGTTAAGAGGAAGAATGGTGCTTGAGTCGATAGCAGATTTCCTTATAAATGCAACTTGGCAACCATTTTTACCATTCATAAAGCCACTGATTGAGGATCTAGTCTCATCTGCCTTTACAGACATCTTTAATGACTCATTTAGACATTTTCCTATAGAAAAATTCATTAAATATTGAAGTAGTAGTGATAAAAATTTAAGTTTCAGTTTAAAAGAGTAGTCATTGAAATTTAAATTTTGGTGGAAAATTTCAATGTGTTGCAAATATAAATTTGAGTTTTAATGTGTTTTTTGTGGCTTATAACTAGAAAAATAATCTGTGAATAGATAAATAATGCTCTGTAAATAAGGAAGTTGAAGCTCAATCAATACGAAGCTATTGTAAGTACTAAATTAAATACAAAATTGTCTTTAAGGGTTTTTAAAAGTTGAAAAGACTTTTTTATTTCATTTTTAAAATTGTAATAATGCAATAATAATTGGTATAGAATACAATAATCTTGCTTTGCAATTTGTAAACGATTAGCAATAATAAATTGAATAATTACGTTAAGTATTTTTTCATGTGTATGTTATGTTTCATATTTTCTCTTTTAATAGGTATATATGTTCTCCATTTTTCTTGTGGATGTTTGAATAGATTTTTTTTTTGTAATTTTTCAATCATTTTTTCATATTTTTTTTTTTTCGTGTGGAAAAGTCCATTAAATTCAAAACAATGAAATGCTTTTAGTTATTTTTTACTTTACTTTTTCTTTGATGATGTACATTTGTGTCTGATAAACATTCATTCATTCATGTCTCCCCAATACATACTTGTAATGTCCTGAGTGTCATGTGAATCTGTGATTTGTCAACCAGTACTTTAGTAATGACAAGCATTAACCTCTTGGATTGATCGAGGGGAGTTGTTCTCAAACTTTTTTGACTCACGCTACACTAATCGCCATTTTGAAAATTTGGCGGTTCACTAGCTTCTTATAAAGGCATATTTAAACTCAATTTTGATTGGCAAAGAGATTTACTGAAGTTGGTTTTTATAGATTCAACTAGATTGCCTTAAAAAATACTCAATGATACCGTAAAGTGATTATAGGTTACCCTAAGCTTTGCTCTAAGTTAACATAGAAATTATGGGTTCCAAGAGATACGCTAAGCCATTCTAGAGTCGCTCTACGGTATCACTTTGTATTTCTTAGAATATCTAAGATGATCCTCTACAAACCAAATTTACAAGGCTGTTTAATCATTCAAATTGAGTACAAAATTGACTTTATGAACAGCTAGGTCCCTCTAAATTGCCAAAATAGTGATTCGTGTGCCGTGAACCGAGAAGTTTAAGAAACGTTGCTCTATGCTTGTCCGAAGAACCCTTTCACTGATGAAAATCGAACATCCATCCTCACAAAAGAGAGAATAGTAAATTTGCGATCTGATAACTTAGCTTAGTACACAGTTACTTTACTCTTGTACCGGTAGATTTCACAATACGTCAGAGGACATTACACATACCAATAATATTAAAGAAACTACAGAATATATGTCTTATAATTTCCTTTGTTATTAAAAGTGGTTTCTTCATCATGATTTTATTTTATTTTTTTTTTGTGTATAAGTTCATTAAGAGTGTTCAATGCAATCAAGGCTTGGCACAATGTTTCTACACATATTCATAATATTAATATATAATTAATTAGTTAAGCATACATATTGTTCAAGTCTTGATTGCATTCCAAAAAATATATATATTTTCTTTTATATAAGTAAATATTGTGAGCATATTGAGGAATGTAGATGTGTATAACTGGCATCTCTCTTTCTTCTTTTTTTATCATAATTCATCTTTTTGTAAATTAAAGCATTTTTCATCATTTTTATTATTATTTTTTTTTCTCGTCGACGGGGATTTAAAGTCAGCAAAAATGGAAGTTGATAAATATTCTTCAAATTTGATTCAAAAGTCGACTTGGTACTGGATTATAATATTTAAATACTGCAACTTTTGGATTCGTTTGAAGAATATTTACAGTAAAAAGTGTTTCACTTCCGTTTTGCACTAAGTTTAATCCCCAACTTTTAAATCTTTTTGATTTTTACTTAATTATCAAGAGTCAAAAACGTGTAATATAAATGATTTCAAAAATTGTTTACGTCATTATTTTGTAAAATTTAATAATTGAAGAACTTGACAATTCAAATAGTCGTTAAAAATATTCAGAAAAAGTTTATTTTGATATAAATAACGGTTTCATTTGATTTTTTTTAAGTTTTTGAAAAATTAATATCCGTTAAAAATTCAATTGTTGATTTGATCTGTTAATTGAATTAAACCCTGATTGATTTTGCTACACGCCATCCCTCAACTCTTCATCGTTAAGTGCCACTCATTTGATTTTTTCTGATACAGAAGGAAAATAAGAAGTCAGGCAAAAATGTTTTATTATTAATGAACTTCCACGTGAATTCATGAAAGTTGCTGTTTTGGAGTTTAGTTTTGTATTTTCATAATATGTTTTTTTTTTATTAATTTCATAAAAATTCTCTAAAACATTCAATTTTTTTGTCCTCATATATCGTATTAAATATTTTTTTTTTGTTTGAAAAGTATTGAAATGATTCTATCTCGTCTACAAAGTGTAAATACTTTTTTAAACGTGTATAATTCTAGTAAAAATTTTCTTTTTTTCATTTAACATCATTTCATAATAATATAATCATTGATTTATTGAATATTCTCTTTTCTAAATATCGGAAATATGAAAAATGTTAATGTCAAATCTCTTTTATTATTGTTAATTACTTTTTAGAGGAATTACTTCAGCCATAGTTATTTAAGGAAAAAGGAAATAACTTTGCTAGTCAGAAGGAACAAAATGAAGCTTTCTATACTGATTTCTACTTAGCTTAAAATAGTTTTTGAAGGCTTCAAATTGGAAAATAAATAAAGTTTCGATAGAAATGATTGCTTTTTGTTTTTCAACCTTTTGCTCAGTTTTTGAATTGATTTTTTATCATTTTAAGGTGCTTTTCTGATGTCAATTACTTGCTTTAGTCAGCTTTAGTCTGTAATGAGCTTGTGTCTTTTATTATTCACATGATTTTATTGTAGTATTTAAACATTTTTTAAGGTTTGCATTTTTTGAATTTTCTTTTGCATAGTTTCAGCTTAGTTTTTGCATCTATACATTTACATTGCTTGGGTTTTTAATGATTTTAGTTTTTGCATCATTTAGACAACTTTTGCTTTAAATTCGCATTATTTGTAAGAAAGGTCTAATTTTTGCTTCTTTTTAAATCTTTATTATTCGCATCTTTTAAAGCAATTCTTTTGAAAAATTTTTTTTGCATCTTTTGAAGAAAATCATCTGCATCTTTTAAGCAAACTTTTTCGCATATTCTAAGCTGATCATGTGAATAAACCTAACACAATTAACCTTTCTATTCATTACCAATGGCAAATATTAATTATTTTTATTCAAAAATTGTATAATAATATCATCAATAAGTTGTAAAAAGTGCAGTAGTCGAAAAAATATTTATTTTTTTTTCAATTTTTCTGATTTTTTCTTCTTTTATAAAAATGGAGATAAACTTGTAAAATATATAACTTTATTTTAATTTTTTTTTTCAAATATGCAAGAGTGCAATAAATTTTCTATTGCGACAGTCCATAACATAATTCTTTGTGAAAAACTTTTTCCATCTGTTTGATTTTTTTCTTTTTCCCATTTTTAGTGAGATTAAAATATAAATTCGTATAAATTGAAGAAAAATTCAAAGGAAGTTTGGATTTAACTGAATTTATGCACTGTGTATGTGTTCCAGAATGAGCTTCCTTTCTCAATTTTATTTGGAATTTCGGCAGACATTTAGATAAATTTAGACAGACTGCTCATAGCAACCACTTGCAGTTATGCTATTTTTGGTGTCTGGATCTATTTTTGTAGCGAACTGTTGAAAATTTCACTTACTTTTAATCGATTTAAATTTGAATAAAGTTTAACTGATTTTTGATATTTGAATTTTTGGTCCAACTTGAAGTTGGCTTCAGTTTAAAAGTTTAGATTTAAACCTTCCGTTTAAAAACTAAGAACTCATTCTGGACAATATGCATCAAGAATTTTCAATGCAATAGATAGACTCAGCATTAAGCTTGCAAAGCACATATCAGAGCACTCATTAGAACACATTATAATCTTTAAACAAGACATAATTAAATGATATGTCTATAGATCATAGTATAGGAAAGTAAAGTAGAATAAGTCGTGTGTATATAAACAATTCGTCACAATTTGATTTTCTTCTTCTTTTAAATTCAGTACAGATTCACTTCAGTATACAATTAGAATATATAGTAATTAATTAATTTAAAAAAGCACTCAGTATAATAAATATATTATGTGTGTATATAATTTTTTTATTGTATGTTCCTTATAATTTGAATAATTCCATGGACATGAAAATGAAGAAATTCTTGCACTTCCCATTTGGGATGATTAACCAATTTTAAGAAGAAAATCAACAAAAAGTAAAAATTATTTTTTAGAACATTTTTCATTTAATAAAATTATGTGAAAGTCACTAGTTTCAAATATTGCTTCCGTTGTCTCATTGATACATAGTCATTTTATGTTTCAATATTCCTATAAATTGGCCTGCATCTAATAAATTTCAAAAAATTAAAAAAGTGAATTTTTCGCCACATTTTTAAATTTCTTTTTTTTTTTGTGACTTAAATTTGGCACAAAAATGTATAAAACATAAGAATGAATTTTTTGTGAATCATTTTTTGTATTGTATTGGATACAAAGCTTCGTGTAGGATAGAGGTATTTATTGATTTATTTTGTAGCTCTAATAATTTTTATTTAAATTCCAATTTTTAACATCGTCCATTCAAAAAATTTGAAAAAACATTTCTACGAATTTAATTCATATCTATCCATTCCGATTATGTACGTCCAATATTCATACCATCATCATTAATACACATTTATTATATAGCAGCTAATAAAGCAACAGTTCACACATTTTTGATGCCATTTAAATATCTATTTGTGTGATAAAAATGAGGAGAAAAAATTATCAAAAAGGTTCTATGCCTTATTATTGTTGTAAAAGCTCTTCATTCGTGTAAACTAGTAAGTGTGAAAATAACGGTCGTTTTAGATTTGAATTTTTTTGTCATAATTTCCGTTAATATTTTTGAAATC